CATCGGGGCCACGCGCTCCCTGGAGGAGTGGAAGCGCCGGGGGGCCGAGTTCGCCTACAAGTGGGGGACGCTGGACACCCCCGCCGAGTCCATTGAGGAGCCCCGGCCGCAGTTCAGGGTGAGCGATGGGGGGTGGCTGCGGGGACCTCCACGCCCGGGGTGCTCCCAGCACCTGGGGGGGCCTGACGGGGATGTGCAAAGCCCCGGGGGGGTCTCATGCTGCCCCTCTCCCCAGGGCACCAAGCGCATCAGCCCCGTGACCAACGCCGAGGAGTTTTACTACCCGCCCTGGAAGCGGCTGCTCTTCCAGTGCCTGGTCAGCCTGCCCCTCTGCCTCTTCTGCCTCACCTTCGTCTTCCTCGTCATGCTGGGCTGCTTCGAGCTCCAGGTGGGCGACGCTCTGCCGCCCCCCTCCCCAGCCCGGGGACCCCCGTGCCAAATCTGCGCGGCCCGTGTGCCGGGGGCAGGCAGGCCTGCTTGCCCCCGCAGCAGGGCAAGAGGACACGGAGAGCTCTGTGCGTGTGCAACGCGTGCACGTGCATATGACGCTGGTATCTGCATGTGCGTGTGCATGGGTCACCTGCCAGCGTGTGGCCGCGGTGCTCAGCCCCATCCTGCCTGGGGTGGAGGAGAGGCCAGGGGCCAGCGTCCACCCGCGTGGCCCGGCGGCTCGGTGTTTCCCCGTCACGTCCCTGGAGGTGACCTCCCTGCCCCTGCAGGAGTTCGTGCTGAGCATCAAGGAGCTGCCCCGCATCATTCGCTTCCTACCCAAGATCGTCCTGGCCATCATCGTCACCACCTGCGACGAGGTCTACAAGAAGATCGCCTACTGGCTCAACGACATGGGTGCGTCGGGGCGCGGGCTGGCTCCGTCCTCCCCAGGGGTGCTGCCCTCCAGCCCAGCCCAGCCTTGCTGCCTCCTCCCCAAGCTCGGGGATCTCTCCAGAGGGTCCCTGGGCTCCCCCTGCGCAGCAACCCCCTTGCCCAGCTGTCGAACCCAGCCCCGAGGGGGGAGAGGGGTTGGCCGGAGCCCCTCACTCGCCCCCCGCTCTCTGTTCCCCGCAGCGCCGGGCTGAGCGCCTCTCTCCTTTCTGCTCCAGAGAACTACCGCCTGCAGAGTGCCTACGAGAAACACCTCATCATCAAAATCGTCCTGGTGAGTCGGGCCTGGCGGGCGCGGGGAGCGGGGGCGCACCCCGCTGCCCCCCTCCCATCGCCCTCGCCGGTCGGCAGCCCTCGTTCCCGTTGCATCCTCCGCCCCGGGAGCTCCCCCGTTAGCTCAGGCTGCGGGAAGTCACGGGTTCGATCCCCGCCGTGCCGGCGTGGTGGGACCCGTCGGGGGGGGGGCCGCGGGCGGGTCGCCCCGGGC